AAACTTATAGTGGAGCCACTGTAGGCACATGGAATATTTTAACATTTTCTTTAATGACTTTCTGGGCCGTCAAGTGTCATTCCCTTAGGCAGCCTATGTAGCAGTGATCCACCTCTCAGATTTTATCAAAAATATCTTCATTTGTGTTCCGAAGATGAACGAAGGTCTTACGGGGTTGGTACAGCATGTGGTGAGTAATTAATGACTTAATTTTCATTTTTGGGTGAACTAACCCTTTAAGGCCCTTTTGGTGACTTCGAGATGATATATAATCTTTCTGTCTCCAAAAATCATCAATTGCCTCCTGTGAAATGTCTCCTACTGTGACAGCGCCTGTCACCGAATGTTGACTGTTTGTCCGAGTGAGTGGAGGGGGCGTGGCTTAGCCATAGGTCAATTCGTCAGTCATTCTGACATAACGTCGAACGTGACTGACTGAAAGGGAACTACATATCACCTCAAACCCAAAAATAGATCTCAAGCCTCATTAGAGAATAAATAAATTGTAACAGATAAAAAGATCAAGAATCATATTCCATTCAGGTTAAATAATGGGAAATAGAAATTCCCCTTATGGCATCTCAAACTGACAGTGGACCAAAAACAACACCACCCTTCCAGGGTAGCCTACAATAAGAAACTAAAAACTCACTAGACAAGACATACACTGAATTAATAGGAGAAACAAAGCATACAAATTATGACAACAGTAACAACACAAACCCTGGAATGGACATAATACATTGAACTAAATTTAGAGCCATGGATACATTTTAGTTAACGCAAAAATAATTCTATTAGACAAAAGTCTTATTGATCAAGACATCACATTTTCCTATGTCCCCTCTAATACTTTAAAGTTGGTACATTATAACTTCCTTTAGAATTCCTATAAAAAACAGTTCCATTTCCTATTTGAACCTCTTTGTCACTAGGCTGGTCCATTTCCTCAACACACCAAACATTTCAAGTCATCTTAATTAAAAATTTAACTGTAACAATGTTAGTTATGTTTTTAACATTACATTTTAGCCAAAGAGGATTTTTAACTGGTTTTAGTGTCTTAACCTTAATTTATTTTAAAAATTTGACTTTTGTGTACAAGGCACTATTTGGTCTTGCACCCAAATATTAGTGACCTTTTACACCGTTACTCTCCAACTAGACCACTCAGGTCTTCTGACCAACTGCTATTGACGGTTCCTCGTTGCCGTTATAAATCTAAGGGTGACCGTCCGTGCCTTTTCGGCGAAGGGTCCGAAATTATGGAATAGTCTATCTTTCCATGTGAGGTCATCTTCATCGCTAGCCATTTTTAAGTCTTCTTTAAAAACATATATGTTTTCTATATTTGTGATCATGAAATGGGTTTTTGAAGCTAATAGAATGTATGGTGTTGCATTTAAATGTGTTTATGTATTCTTGCTTGATCTGTGAAGCACTTTGGGTCAACTTCTGTTGTTTTTAAATGTGCTATAAAAATAAAGGTTGACTTGACTTGACTTAAGCTAAATAACAAAGCCTGTGCACTGACTCAGTACAATGACAAATAAAGATATTAAAACAAACAAATACAGAAATGTTTTGTTTTTTCATTGATTGATCAATGCAAAGATAAATGTATAAGAATCACGTGTGGCATAAATTCTGGCCATCATGGCGGAAAATGCATGGCATGCATCCTTATCAGAAGATTTGATTGAATGATGTGAGAGTACGGGTGTACACTCTTCTCTTTTTTCTGAGAACAGTGCATTTGACACTGCTCATGTCTGTGGTTTACTGTTTCCGTCTCACAAACTCTTGCTACAGAGTGGCTTTGTAAAGAACTGCATGGTCAACCAGATCCTTTAGTACAACAGAAAATAGGTCACAACTTTCAAAGCCACTTCTCAAGTCTTGCAATATCAAAGTAATTATTTTTCTTGAGCAATTCAAAGAGCTGCAGTAATTGTTGCTGTTGAGATGTCAATCACATTTGAAAACATCTGACATCCGGTTTTAGAAGGTACATACTATTGTAAGAGGGGGACACGAATGCAGTGTCTGTGCTATTTAAATCTAAATGTTTCTCAAACTTACCCCCTTTCAGCAGTTCATCAACATTACTGCGGAGTATTTCAGGGACACAAGAAGTTGCCAGACCATTTCTGCCCTTATGAACGTGTGGCAGATTAATGTCTTTTGTATGCATACTGTCATTTTTTTTTTCCACATCAGAACAGTAAAAAACAAAAAACAAAACAAAAAACAGTATGCATACAAAAGACATTTAATCATTTGTATTTCTTTTATAGAAATGTATATTACATTTGTTGTTTAAAGAAATTGTATCTTTTTTTTTATCATTTGATCAGTTTATAGAAAATATTGTATTTATATGTTAAATGTCTTTACTATGTATGTACCGACATTTAAATTAATAAAAGTATACAATGTGCTTATTGTGTATATATATATATATATATATATATATATATATAAAATACCTTCATGTAATTATAGCCATTATTAATTTCTGTAATTACCTCTATAATTACACCGTTGACCTTCCCTTTCACCTTAACCTACCCTTAAACCAACCATAAAAGAAACCTTTCCCTAACTGCAGAAGTTTAACATAACTAATATAAAGTGTTACTGAAAATATTTCAACACAGTGAGTGTCAATTGGAGTTCACAGGTAGCAAGGAAAAAATGATGCTAAATATAAAATAAAATATAAAATTACGTTTTCTCAATATATTGGTCATCTGCCAATAGTATACATATTTTAATGTTCCCCCCCATTGGTCAATATTGGATGCTCTTTCTCCTACTTTTATGTTTAGATTACCGTTGGCGTTGCCATCCTCTAACACTCATCTAAAGTTAATAACAATTAAAAATAATTTAATAACATACACTATCAACTATTTAAAAATATTAAAGTTTGATTTAGTATTTAGTTTTTTTTTTTTATTATTTATATTTGATGAAATATTTTAATATTGTCCATAACATGAAACAAATTATAAGCTTATCTGACCAGACTTTAAATATCGGTGGATCCCTAAAGTCAATTTAATTGTGCCACTTCTTTACATTGCAACCTGTCACATGTTTGAAGCTAGTCACATTGTTCATTTTCCTATTCATCTTGTCATGTCAAAAATGTTGCATTATTGGACCAATGTAGGTCATGGTAATATTAACACACTTTGAAAATCAAACAATGTTTGTTGTTGGATTGTCACCTTTGAAAATCTCGGAAGAACCAGTTAGGCACTTTAGTGAAATAACTTCACGAATTGTTGGCCAGGAAAGAACTGAAAAAAGTAAAAAGCAACTGTGAGAACAAAATGTTCTATAACCTTCAGCCCATTTAGTGACTGGTGACATCAATGTCGTGCATCATATCACACCACAACATTTGCATAACCTCAAGTCTCTGAAACAGTAAATGGAGTTCAACAGTAAAATGCTATATCTATAGAATCAGACTAGAAATTATCATAAAACACCAAAGACTTTTTTTCTAAAACAAATTTATTTATCTTAAAAAAGCCAATACAGATCTGAAGATTTTTTTTAGAACTGTAACACACTGGGTTAATCTCAATTTCAACATTGTGTTAACAATGACTGTAAATCAACACTATACAATTTCAAAAAGAAAAGAAAAAACTGGATTCACAAAATGAACAAACTTCTTAGAACAGGGGCAGCAGACAGATGACTATCGCGGTAATGTGAAACATGGAATTTTGTTGGCTTTAGCGAGAGGTAAAAAAAAAAAAAAAAGGATAAAACATTGAACAACAGAAAAATGGGAGACAGAAAAGAAAAAAGCCCCAGATAAGATACCATGAAAGACACTTTTAATTTTTTTCATGGAAATTGAGTGTAGGTTTAGAGGGACATTTGCAGAGATTCAACTGAAATAAATTCGTAGAATTCGATTCTCGATTCTTAGATTTTATAAATCACAAGCAGTAAAAGTTTGAAAAGAATTGGCATGTGAAGTTCCAATATTTACCTCAAACCAAAATCTAGTTTACTTGGTCTAATAACCTTATCATTTGAGAACTCATTGGGCAAATCATAATAGTGTATGACTATTGTGCGTATAGACGTGCCATCAAAAACCATCACCATTCCATCCATTATTTCAATTCAAGAAACTCAAAATGGTGAAGACAACAGTACTGTCTGCTTAAACATATAACTGACTAATTTTAAGGCAATCGGGCCTAGTTAAAAGAAGGAGTCAAACAATTTCAAAATATATTAATGAAATTAATTACTGATGTCATGTTTAGTTATGCAAAACATCAAATGCATTTGCCAAGTGAGACGAGAGCAGAAGACAAAAGCAATACTGATGTCGCTGATAATAAAGCGAAAATACTGTAGCTAGCCGTAAATGTCAAGCTGGTAGGCTCCCCTGACTTTGTAGCAAAATTTTGCGTTTTAGAGAATGTGGCACAAACTATAACGTTGGGTACTAGTCAAACTGAGCTGATCCATCTATGTAAACACTATTAAGGATTTTCTGATACAGAAAAAAAATACTGTTGACAAGGAATGAGAGGGAGTCATGTCTATCACGAAATGATAGATTTCCCCCCCCCTCATCACTCCAGAGGATCAAATCAATACGCTGTTGAATTTGGGAAGAATATCACAAAATAAACGTCTTTATTTAAATTGTGTTGTTGTGACATTGATCATTCAGTTGCAGTTATTTCAAATGTCATGGTTTATTCATTAATGTTTGCTCTAGTTCAGATATCACTATTAATGAAGACAGAAGCAGCACTAATGTCCTCCAGGCTCTGCCCAAGAGAAAATCAGCTCCAAGTGAAAAAGACTAATAAAATACTCTCTTTAATTTTACCAGCGGCTGATAAAGAAATATGTAATAAAGTACTTTTTTCCTCACTTCTTCTGTAAAACTGAAGTCACCTTTCTTGGCATTTTGAGACTTAAAATATCATCTTAGATACATACAAAAAGACTTTAAGCAATAAAAACAAGTTTATATTATGGGTAGCAACATGTAAAATAAAATCACAACTCTGCAGAGAAGACGGAAAATACAGAATTTGCATAGCAGATTAGAATACAACTGAGAAAGAACTGCGTTTTTTGGTACAATATGGTGTCGTCATGTAGCTTTTGATGTATGTACAGCGTAAAATTCCTTTCATGCCAATCCATAAAAGCAGAAATGGATTTAGAGTCCGTCACTATAATGCTTGCAAAGGAAATGCCAAGCATCTCATTCGCTTCTCGTCACGCTGTTACAGGCGAGACGTGTCATATCAAAGGTTGAGTAGAAGTCTCTTACAGGAAAACTAGTAGATACTGTTTCGAAAGTGCCATCTTGCTACATTTGATCAGCTGATTCCATGGTCTGTTCGTGAAAGTTTAACACCAACATGTTGAACATCCCGATAGCTTTCAGATACTGTGAGTTTTGGTCACATCACATTCTCTCGTACACACGCAAACACACACATACACACAAAAGGGGACCTGAACTGTGCAGGTAAGGGTGTAGAAGAGGTAAAAAAAAAAAATTTCACTCCAGAGGTTTAATCAATGTTCCACATTCCAGCAGCGGGTAAAGCTTTGAAATGAACAAGCACCATTTGGAAAAGGCCTCCGAAGTCCTCCATTTTGGGAGAGTGAGTTTAAAACTACATTCAGACTGGCAAAAAGTCTCAGTGGCTGAAATGTTCGTTTTGGGTTTTGCTTTCTTGTCTTTCTGACAAGCCGTTTCAAGGCAAAAAGCAGCCCTCGGTAGCAGCCTTACTGGAGGCATCTCCATTTGAAGGGGAGGCCCTTCCTCAATTCCCGTGTTATTAACGAGTCCCAAGGGTGTGTTCACAAGTCCTCATCGCCTCTGGTGTGCATAGACTGGGTATGCTAACGTGACATTCAAAGAGTCATTGTGCTGAACCAGGGATGTGTGCTGGTAGTGCAAGACCAGTTCTTTTAGAGAGCTGTAAAGGTTGTAGGGCTCAGCGAAGCCAAATCCTGTTGGTGTCTTGTTGATGACGCAGTGCTTGACCTCACCATCCACACTGTGAGAAGACAAAGAGATGGTTTTAGTCATCATTGCCTTTTGAAATTTCCCTTTTCAACATGCACTCTCAGAGTGTCAGCTTAGTAGTCAATGAATTGCAAAGAATGTCAACAGATGTCGGTAATAACAACCAACATGTACTCTCCAATAATTAGGTAAAAAAAAAAAAAGCCTCAACATCAAACAAGCTCAAAAAAGTGATACATACACAACACTGCAGGCGTAACATCCAGGTTTGCTGCTGTCCCTGACCAGGAATGTTCCATCTCTCTTGCCCCGCAGAAGAGCCTCAGCCTGGTTGCGGTTAATGTTACCCAGCTTCCAGGCGCGTTCATCATGGTGTGGCAAATCCTCATCGTCATCCACCATTGAGTACTGACTGTAGTAAAGAAGTGAAGAGTTAAATTTTTGAAAGCAGGAAGACTTGAATATAAAACAGCTATAATGTGATAAGAATACTCACTCGTCCTGGTTTTCGTTTTTGATTCCCAACCATTCATTGAGTTTCTTCTGTCTGACCCCTTTCTGTGTCAACCACCTGTGTAGCAACAGAAATCATTATGTTGCTCTCCATGTAGTCGTTTCTGAATGCAAGATTGTTTCCTGTGTGTTATATTTGAAGTGCAGAAACTATAGATGAGCTACTTACATGAGGTACTGATCCCTGGTCTTTCTGAGCTGGATGAGATCAGGCTTAATGCTGTTCATCCGCTTGTCAATCTCTCTGTAGTCCGCCGCCTGCTTCTTCAGATCCTCCTCGAGACGTCGTTTGCTATCCACAATTTCACTGATGCGCGATTTTAACTTCTCATAGTTGACCATGATCCTGCAATGAAACATTGCAGAGATGTTGCATTAAACTTCTGAAATTTTCTCCAAAAGACTATTTTAGAGGTTTTCAGCTTCAGAACTCACCTTTGGATTTCCTTCTCGTTGCCTTCTCTTCTAAACTTCTCAATATATTCTTTGCTGTATCGTTCTTGTGTCTGGCACTGCTCTTCAAATATTTTTATGGTCTCATTAAAAGCTTCAATAGCAGTCCTTTTCATTTGTATTTCCTAGTGAGCAGACAAAAAACCATGTCAGAATGTACGCACTTTATCGAGCTCTGAGATTGCTTTACTGAAATACATATAGTAAAGTCATCAAATATATTTAGGGAGAGCAAACCTGTGATGTTCGAGTGTATTCCTCATAGAGTCTGTCATACTCTTTGTTCTTTTCTTGGAACTGCTGGTGGTATTCGTGCAACTTTTTCCCAACAGCTTCAATGTTATCCTCCTTTACCACTTGATCCTATAAATAAATAAAAAACATATCCAATAAAATGTTTCTGTTATAAACTAGATGGATCCAGAGTAAAGTTCTGCAGGAGGAAACTCCATTACCTGTTGGTGCTTAGATACAGGATACAGTAGTTTCACATCTAGTTTGGGGTTGTACTGGGCAAGAGACTCGTGCCGATAGTGGTTGATCAACTCAACCACAGAGTTGAAAGTCAGGGGGTCTGAGAAGCCGTACTTCCCATCCCGGTGGAAGATTTTGATTAGCTTGTTGTTGCCTCCCTTCCTGTATGGTCAATGAAAATAAGGATTTAGAGCAATCCTTAAAGTTGGCAACATCAAGGCAAGCACCCTAAATAAAAAGGAATTCAGAGACACACTTGGGTTTACAAAGGAGAATGTACCTCAGTGTGAGCGTGTAATCCCCATGCATTTTAGTGGAGGCATCTCGAACCAAAAAAGTACCATCAGCAGTGTCCCTAAGCTTTTCGTTGACCTCCTCCCTGCAACAGAAAGAGGTTCAAACTTTTACAAGAAGCAACATTATTAATAATAATAATAATAATATAAAAAAAAGCATGCTTCTGACCAAACACTAGGTTTGATGAGTACTTGCCTGGAGATGTCCCCCCAGTACCATTCAGCATCTTGCAGAGCCATGTTGTTGTTCATACCGTTGTTAGTGACAGACGTTGGTTTGGGTGGCTTGGGAGGTAGTGCTGTAAAGAGAAAAGAGAGAAACTGATTGAGAACTTAATTGCTGATGAACTAGCAGCACTCAAGGTCATTTACATATAAAACATGTGCAGGCATGCCCAAATATATGCGTCCTGACATATCTGTATTTTCAATATGAAACAACAGTCCAACCTAAGAATGCTAATCTTCTGAAGAAAAATTTAAATCCTCAAAACATCCTTTGGCTGTCAAGTAAGTGATGCAGGTTTCCTTCCAATGCGACAGTCATGTTTTAAAAGCATCCAACAGTTACTGCAGTTTCCCAGATCTCTTGCCTCCTCCCCTCCAGTGTCTTCCATTTCATTAAATGCAGCTGAACACATGCCTCTTGAGCACTCAGCAGGGAGTCGGATTCTTGACTCAGGGAGAATGCATTTCATTGCCCCTTCCAAAAAACCTAATTTCATCACCATTTCCAGATCTGGTCAGTATTATACCACATAATCTTCGATCACAGATTCACCGATCACAATACTGAGTCATGGAGATACAAAACAGGGAATAATTTGGATTTTAAATCAGTTATTTGATGCATCCTTTCACTTTTACAACAAGTGTTTCTGAACAGAATTAACACTGTTTCTAGAAGCAATGACATTGGACAGCAGGCATATACCCATTAATGGGTTTTTCAAAGTAATGCATTGTGCACAATCATGCAAGAATCCTCAGCCATTGAGAACATGTTGCTTCGCTGGATAGAGGCAGAGAATGCATTTGATTGGCTGCTGGGCCGTGTGACGGGAAGCAGCGGGGGCAGTGCAGTCTCCGTGGAGCATGAGGCAGAGCTGAAGCGGTGGGCTATTTTTATCTTCCAACCACCCCCCCCCCACCACACCATCTCATGCACACTCACTGTCTCTTCTTTTGTTCACCTCAGTCACTATCATCGCTAAGCATTTTCTGCCTAGTGCAATCACAGGGTATAAAACTCGCAGACAAAGATATTAAATCAGATACAAGAATCTAACCAACAAATCATCCCATGCTTTGTGGTACCTCCATTAAAACATACACAATATTCCACACAACGACTAATGTATCTGTTACCATAAGAAAACAAACGTTAAACCCATTTTGAGACCAACAAATGCATCCAAGACCACAGACAGAGCTGTCACCCATCAAATTTAGACTTACGAATGACATGTTTGTAATGCACCAACTTCAAGAGTTACCTGGCGCGTCTATTTCTATGTAAAACAGGAGGTCTGATCCAGATCCTGATCCAGAGTCAAGTCGTGGACTCTCTAAATCCGCCATGCCAAATGATGTGTTGCATATCTGGAAGGATACGCATGCAGTTTCTTTGCAAACCTCCTCTGAATGTATACTATAAATCCAGTTTCTTCGCATTCATCGGTTTGAGACCAATTTTTGAAAAGCCTTGGAGAGTGGGGTCAGTGAAAGCCATTACATCACTTACCCCAGCCAATGGTGCTGCAGGACTGTTGCTGGCCACTCCTGCCTCATCACCTGCCTCTATTTCTTCCAAGTCCTAAGTGCAATGATGTCATTGCAACAGTGCTTTGTCCGTTCAAAAGTCGACAATGAAGTGCATCAAAAGAAAGATGTATCTGCACTTATCTGTGTGATCCAGTGATATCCTTTAACCGTGTGGAACACAAGTGTTCTCAAAGTCGTTTTGATGCTCCCAAACAGAGGGAGTTATATCACAGACAAGGTGCACTGCAGCACAGCGTCTTTCGAATGAGAAAAAGAACTGAAGCTTTACGGTCTTTCTCTGTCACCCCCTCCCTTCCTGTATCTGTGATGCAGCTTTGCTAAGCCCCGCCTCACTGAGCATAAGCATTCAGGACGGCCTCTCTGCTGGTAGGCAGACAAAATCGCTGCTGCAGCGGCACGTAGGCAGTCCCTACGTCAAAGACAAGGCCAGGTCAGGAGGCAGGCACGGCTTGCAAATACTTCTTATAATCCCCACATGCGACTCACAGAGGACTGTAGGAGGGTAGAGATCAGCTATACATGCTTGAGAGGGTACCTGAAATAGCCGCATTTCTCAGTAGGGTTAAAATGGTCACAGGAACGTGGGCTATTGTCATGCTTGGTACTCTAATGACAGGTCAGAAAGGCACTTCAGCTGGGGTGCTTAACAGTCATGCAGTAAGTGTAATTGACAGCCACTGGGACATCAAAGAAGTGTAAAAAATAAATTAAAACTTCAGTTTTTAATTTTAGTGGACTCCTTGCATTTTAAAGAAATTCTATACCCTAACTTTTATTAGAGCCGATGAATAATGCAACACATTCACTTTGCATGCTCAGACATGCCGGTGTCAGTCAAACAAGTTAACCCACTTTTCGTAGCAGGTCGCACTTGGAGTGCTAGTCTTGATACACACAAGTATCAAGTACACACTCGTACAGAAGAGTAGCACTGATATTCAAGCCTGTCAGAGCTTAAACCGAGTAACTCCCCGAAGTGATGACATGCTGCTTTAGTTTGATACATTTTCCGTCTACCTAACTGCTTTTGATAAAAGTAACCCAATCATTACACCAAACTTCCTGAGACACCAAAACCACACACTTACATTGCAAGTTGTGCATGTTCAGCAGAAGTCAAGCAGCCTTTCGTTCAGCAAGTCTGTCCGGTAAGCATTACTCGTGATTCTTGGTAAATCCAAAAAGATGGTACTCTTGTGGTCTTGAAAAATGTTCCCAGTTGACTGGTGCAGGTGTCTCAAAATCACTGCAGCAGTTTGAAGAAATCCAGCAAAATCCGAGTTGGGAAAGAAAAGAGTTGGTGTGACAGGTTGTGTCCGGAGAACTAAAGAAGGTCTGAGAGGGGTGGAGAATGACGCCTGCTCCGGGACGGCTAGGTAAATGATTGCTGGGGTCGCACTGCTGCTAGCCGACTCTCTCTCTCTCTCTGCTCATTCACTCTCCCTGGCTCCAAGGGTTCAGTCTCATGATTAACTCGCTCAGGTTCAAATATTTGCTGAGCTGTGCACCCTTATGTTTTGGGAGGGGAATGTGGCACAGGCAGGAGGGGGCCAGGGGGTGGAGTAAAGTCCTCGGAAGTGATCGTTGAAAGTGTGTGTGTGTGTGTGTTAGAATGCATGCAAGACAGAACAGCCGCCGCTGCAAGCTAACAAGAGAGCTCTATGGAGCAGACCGCACTTGAAGCCAGCCCAATTCCAAGTGGGCCTTTTGCCACCTGCTTAAATTAGCCACCTAGTAACTAGGAACATGTGCACACACGCATCCACACGCTCATATTAACACACACATCAACAGCTACACACCGCCACATGTGCAGGAATCAAGTATGGGCAGGTTGGTAAGGCAACAAGAAACCGTAAAAGGTGGCACTTGTGTGACCCATGTTTGTGTAAAAGCTTGTACAGGAAGAAACTGAGCTGCCCGAGCAGTAAGGAGGCAAGTGTGCTTTTGAGTCTGGACTCGTCTCGCCCAACCCAGCCTCCTGCAGGTGCAAATTACTGACAGCTGAGCTTGCTCCATGCCAGGGTAAGGTATAAATAGGCCCCAACAGGTAATAAAACATTTAAACAGTCACACAGCCAGACTTGGGAGAGAGATAGACGGATAAAGACAGGGAGAGAGACTTTACTAGTGCTATAAAAGCCCAACTAGACAACTGGTCTGTGTTCAGGGCAGCGTGCCTACACACACACACACACACACACACACAAATACAAATACACAGTCAGACACAGCAGAAGTGTCTATGTGGTCTGTCCCATCTCTAAATGAACCTGACCCACAAAAGCAAGGGAGTGAAACACAGATTTTTCGACAGAGCACTCCCAGCCATTAAACATTGATATAGTATCAGCTGAAGTGAAAAGGCTACTTCATATAAGAGTTTAAGAATATCAATGCTGTCTTCCCATTTTTGTCAGGAACCAGACATCTACCTTTTTTGTACACCTCTTTTTAATACATTTTAGCCATTCTTTGGAGTAGTGTGTGCATTTTGATCTGTTGTAAAAGTGTGAACATCAGTTGGAGCTGTGGCCTAGTGGCTGGCACTTACCAGTAAGCCAAGGTTTCTCATGCGGCAAACTGAGGTGCAAGCCCATTACACAAATTTAAACTCCAGGTACCTTTCCCTATCTTTCCCCCATTGTTGCCATCTACTCCAATACATCATTAAATGTGCATGTTTGACAATGGTGCTTATTTGGACAACACTGGTTTGAATCCAGTAAGCCATCACTATCCCATTGCCTAAACTGTATGCAAAGCTTTAGAGAAATGTTTCTCAACCCTTTTGACTCCATGACCCGGCATTATTCAAATAAGACATCAGTTAAATGTTGTACTTTTGTGGGGTTTTTTCTCCAGCATTAATTAAGATTCTTAAGATAACTCAATTTAAATAATTTAAAGGTTGGTTGAGAACTGGTTGACTTACCTGGAGCTACCTGACTGTCATTCCATTCACTGGTCACCAAGACTTCAACTATCCTGATGTGTGCCTCTGGGCTGGGCTCACAACTGGGAAGGGAAAAAGAAACATCTTTTTTTTTTGCTAGCAGGCTAGCTGGCAACAACATGATTCATTAGCATGTGTCGGGATGTACCTGGTGGGCTGATGTCTGAAGAGTGCCGGACTGAAGATCTCAGCGAGGGCACGAGCACTGAGCAGGTTAGATGCTGAGGCCTGGCATATACGGGAGAAGTGGCGCAGCAAACTCTGCAGGGTCAGCCAGTACTGCGGGGGAAGTGCAGAAGAGCTGGCCACCAGCCGCAGGTGATGTGCGCATTCGTCTGCACCCTGCACTTCTGAAGAGACACATAGACAGAAGAGTGTAAAACAAGGGCTCTCTAACACCCAACTACAAACACTGAAAGTGGCATCATGTGATATACATTTAAAGTGAGCTAAACATACCAATAATCAGTGAGGCCTTATGCAAAAAAGTGTGGAAAATTGCACTCGACGTGCAACTAACCGCACAAGATCTTAAGCGAGACAATGACAGAGTGAGTAAGGTATTCTGAGAGATGATTGGTTGACAGCCCTGATGTAGCAGATAAGTTTTCAGGTTTGCTTTAGGTCTATTAACCACAGATATCCTGTTTCCAGCCACGTGACTTTACACTACCCAAAAGAGAAGTGCAAAGCAAAAAAAAAAAAAAAACAACACCACTGTTCTCTCTCAAATTGGATACATGCTAGTTTACACTGAACATTTTGTACATATACAGAACAAACTTTTGGCAGTCACACAGTGAGGGAAGATAAATTCAACGGCCAATACAACACCTGGAATACGTTTCGCAGTTGAATTGGCTGGGGTTGGTAGACACAAAATCAGATAAGTGTTGGAACATGTGTACTGATAAAAGTATGCGCTGTGATGATTCAACCACACAATCTTAACAGATGAGCCTGGTCTGCTGCTTTTAGAATGTCACGGGACTGTGACACCTTGTGTTACTTTACTACCATTGTAAGAGGCTCACCATCTGGCTAACAAAAATCTTTAGAACAATAGCTCCACCCTGTGGCTCTTATAATGAAATGAGATCAATGAGAAATGCATCATTTGGTTTTAATGCCCTTAAGTTTGGTTTAAAGGACCATAGGAGAACTAAATCAGACAACTAAACAAAAAAAAGTTATTCAGTTGAATTGAATTTGTCTGTTGGGTAGGCTGTGCCTGGCCGCGTGAGCATCGCTCTGCCGCAGTGTAATTTCAAACACATTTTCTGTGTATGTGAATGCTTTTTTTAAGTGGATATTGGGACACGAGAAGTACAAAGACTTCTTTACATAATAAATAATACTTTAGTAGTTAGTAGTTATAGTAATAACAGTTTAATAACGATTCATTCATGGAAACAATTAATGTCGAATGAGATGTGCGTGAGCCCACTGTAGGGTTCAGTTTAATTTTCCCTTTAAATAAGTTTGTTATAGGCTTGGCATTTAAAATAAATGTTGTTTGTAATTCATTAATGAATGAACAATGAATATAAGTTATTTTTATTTTACACATATTTTTTACATTTTTGTTGCATTCTGAATAGGCTACCATTAAATTTAAAGGATTTGGAATGAGGGGAAGTAATGCATGTTTATAGTCTTATAATGTCTGTTAACGTTGCATTATATTTACCAGTATTTTACATTAATTTTGAATGTAATAATGGTAAATGGACTGCATTTATATAGCGCTTTCAGAGACCCAATGACCACCAAAGCGCTTTACAGTTTGCCTCACATTCACCCATTCATACACTCATTCATACACCGACGGCGGTGTCAGCCATGCAAGGCGCCATCCAGCTCGTCGGGAGCAGCCGGGGTTAGGTGTCTTGCTCATGGACACCTCGACACTTGGCCAGGTGGAACCGGGGATTGAACCACCAACGTTCCGGTTTGTAGACATAAATGTAATAATAAAATGTGACACACACCACTGCAAATTATCTGTGTTCTTTTACTCTCTCAACAACGCAAGTTTGACCTGCTGCGACTTATTTTCCGGAAAATAATATAATTGTGCTGTATTATTAAAAAAACCTTTAGCACCAATAAAACAACCATATTATGTTCATTACTCCCACCCACATTAACTTTGGTCACTGTTATTATTATGAGGGGGTCCTAGGAAATGTATCTCCCCTGTAAGAGATTCCAGGCTCCAAAAAGTTTGAAAACCCCTTACTAAGATGACAACTGAGTGAACCGATTTTAAAAAAAGAAAAGAAAAAAGACTTAAGAAACAGCATTTCATATCAGTTTAAACAGTTTAGGAGCAAAGTGTAAATTCCAATGATTCACACTAACATGGATTAATACTATGTCATAGAAATCCCATGAGAGTTTTAGGGCTGTTGACCTAATGTTGATGTGCAGTAATCCTATGGAAACTCACCTTGAGCGATGCGCATCATCTCAGTGTAAATCATAGAGGGGATGAGAGGCTGAGGTAGATCTTGAAGATACCTCCTCAGACCATCACACAACATCTGAAGGTCCATCTGCTCAAGATCCGCCAAGGCAGGGTCTGATTCACAGAACACAAACATCAGTGAGACAGGAAGGAATGAAGCTAGCACCGTATACTAATCAGCCACACAGAGACAAACAATAAATCTTTTCGATCAAATCATTTTTTTCCTAACCAGATTCACATGTGATAACCGATTTCGACAGACGTTCGGTTTCTATTTGTAGCATCACATTGAAAGTGGTGCTCAATGTTACAATGCTAGGTTGTTCTGGTTGGTTGCCAGGGTGTTGATATGCGGTTTCTAAAATAATTCTGAATGGCTGAGAAATTGTGTGAGACGAGATGTCACTTTTAATACTTTGGGTTGGAGTGTTTGGAAAATTAGTACAACAGGAATATCCAGGCATGCTAGATAAAGGCTGTGATTTTGTTGCATTTCGCACTCAGCATGGACAGAACAGTTAACAGTGGCTACAGCTAATGGAATGCGTCACTTACAATTATCAAAGCATTGTCTGACATCCAGCCCTCCTCCAGCAGTGAAATTTCTATAGAGAGTAGGGTTGTTTAGACCTGTACAGAATTTATATGCGAGTTAATACTTGAGCACAAAAAATAAATAAGTAATAATTACGACAAAAAAATATGCGTAATGGATTCACCTTTCCTTTCGATGGCCTCAAGGAGCTCGAGGAGTACAAGTGGTGCCATCTCTGGAGGAGTAAACTGCTCAGTCAGGTCTAACAGAGTGCTTGAGCCTAAAGGAGAGAAAGTTAAACAATCATACCAAAAAGCCACCAGGTACCTTTGAACAACTCTACTAGCTTTTCATTAAGCACCAAACACCATCATTTCAAAGCCTCCAAGAAAAACAAGAACTTTAAAGCATGCCCCACAGTCACAGGACACATAGATCAATAGTCATCTTCATGCATTTATGTGGTGCAGCAAGGAGCACGTTTGGACGGCACATCTAAGTGTGTTTAAGGCTGGTGCTGACCGGTAGGATATGATTAAGTGTGCAGTGGAGGTGGACGAGAAGTATAAAGTAAACAGACCGTAATATGCAGCCTCTGGTGTTGGGTAGAGGATTACTGAGATCTACAAGTCCAGGTGTGAGCATGAAAGGGCTGCGGGACTGGCGTGAGCTTTATTTGGATTCGGTGCACAGCATTTTAAAAGGCTTGGATTTCTAAAAGGCTTGACTGTTAGCAGCGTCCGAGGCCACAGATCCAAACACAGCATATTATGAATGGATTCCCTTTACAGAGTTTTTTTTAATAGAGGTATCAAGAGGATCTTTACAGTTAGCAGAGTTTCTTAGAAGGAATGACTCAAATTAAAAGCTTGGAGGCTGCCTAAATGAAAAAAAGAAGAAAAAAAAACACACACATGAGGAAATGGGTGTTTAAGCCATTAGAAATAAGTCTTTTTTAGTCCAAAGGATCTGGGACTTTTTTTCTTCTTTTGCTAGCCTGGAAGATAAGTAAAAAAAAGTTATATTGCTCATATCACACCCCTTCTCTTGAACTCAACTTTGAAAGGCAACAGCCATCTGGAGTCCATTACTGGCAAAACGACATCGAGCATAAGGAGTTATTCATTTTCTGAGAACTGCTGAACTCGAGGCAGGGGGAGTGAACGACAGATCCCTCATATAGAAATTTAGAGAGTAGTGCCACTTTGGTACGCCGCACTGAGGGGTAACCTTGTGCCCAGACGGACACCTTATCCAGCCTGCTACTTCTTAGAATCCAGATTCAAAGCGCTGGGCTAATTTTACATTAGCTCAAAATGTTCTGGTCAAAAGTGACAAATATGGTTCTGGAATATAACAAATTCTTCACATTTACCATATAAGTTTGGTGAATTAGCTTAAGTCACTATGCTGTCTTGCAGTTGAGACTGCCTCAGTTTAAGTCACACTATGGTGGTCTGTAATAACAAAATAATTAAACAATTACATCATAAGTCAATGCACACCCCATTTCATCACAGAACTGAATATTCCAAGAGTCTTGTGTTTATTTACATGCATTGGATGGGCATTTACACAGAGGGTGGGAGGCTGGAAGGGGAGGGGGGATTGAGTTGCTTCTAAGTAACTCAGTGTGACTTGATAGCACTGGCCTTCCATGGGGCTAGATTGAATGACATTCAGGATTGATGATAGTGGAATAGTTCAAATGTTTTGGTTCAAGGTTCCACTTGAGTTCCATCCCTGAGACACCGTCTTTAGGATCTTGAGTAAATAAAGAAGAACTAGACTAACTTTCTAGGTGTACGACCATGCAAAATACACCGCAATGGAAGGTTGCTTAAAGGTCTAGAGATCTTAAAGTCTTAAAGTTAAAAGAGCCCATCCTAAAGTTTTACCCAGAGTCTGTACTTCATTTTAAGTCAGGCTATGTAAACACTCTCCTTAAAAAGCTGTGTGACTGTCCATGCTAAGTATTAGCAAGCAACACTAACAACTGGGCAGTTCAACAAGTGTCGTGATCTCACACAATATTATACTCTCATCAACCCACTGTGAGTAGCAATAGTGGTAACTTAGTGTTATTGTGAACAATTCTCTAGAAAGATCCACAAGAAAACACCTTTCGTTTCCAACTACTACGCTTAATTTATCCAAGCTTTGCAGACAGTTCAGATCACACAATCAACCAGGCAATGGAAACGATTAAAGATGCATTCATGGTCAAGCTCAAGTGCAGTAAGACTTTACTGCTAAAGGGTAAACATTAACTAATTGAGCATGAAAAAAAGCTTAAAAAGCCTCTAGTTCTCTGCAAGAAAATTAAACAAACAGAAAACAGGCAAAAAAAAGAAAAAGAAAAACGGCCCAGCTCAGATTCAGACAGCCAATCGGTGACTGCAGATTTTGGTTGCCACAGCAACTCTTGGAAGAGGAAGAGAGGGCCCATGTGCAAGTCTGAACATGCGTAGTAAGGTCTGAAATGTGTTGGTTCTGTTTTTTTTGTATGCCATATAGGATGCAAGGAAAGGGACCACAGGTTAAGGAGGGAAAAGCAGCTGTCTGGGTTTTGTGGAACAATCTGAGCAAGAGCAAGAGCAAGATCAGAGGAGTTGCATATGGTGCTAAAGATAGTTTCCTCAGCAGTTAATTTTAGGGGTCTACTTGTGTATCTAGCATTTCCATCACTGACTAGTTCTTCTTTGAAATGTCATTCTAGCAAACAACTAGTGATCACATTTCCCCCAGAAATCAATTAAGGACTTTTTTTTAAAGTGGTTAAACCTGCTTTTGAGGAACAGGTTTAACTGCTATCAATCGTCAAGGTGTAGCAGAAATCAGTTTCCATTAGAGTCATCAGCTGCTCTGGTTACTGTGAATATTTGTACCATGTATGTTTACATGTACTACATGTTATTTTTCCTCTTGGCAGCTTGACAGATGGTCCCTTCAAACTTAAAAAAAATAAAGAAAGAGCTGTGTGAAGATTCTTTAAAAATTTGGTGTTCCAATAAAAAAATAAAAAAATAAACTGACATTAGTTTAATTTTGGTGAACTATACAAATTCGGAGACTTGGAGCATTAACATTTTCCCTGCCAGCGTTTTAAAAGTTGCCATCCACCTCCAGGGTTAGGGTTAGGTTTTAAATTTTTAACCATTTTCACAATTTTCATGGCCCCAGAATATTTTGTTGTATGAATATCTGAACATGCAATATAAACTATTCTGAAGTGCATGAATGAGTGTATTCTGTCAGTGTGAATTGACTGCAGACAGAAGCGTTTAGCTTCACTGGAGACGCATGATCAACATACTTCAAACCCTTGATTTCAAACTATGCTGCACTATATTCAGTTGCCCACTGTCATATGTCATTTTCACTGTGCTGTAAGTAAAAATGACTTACCTTGTCTTTATTTGCAAAAAATATGATTCCCAGTGCGCACAAACTTACCAGATTACGAGTCCCTTGTTGTTTAGTGTTTACTTCCTTTTTATTCATATTTGTTCCAACAATTTCTTTATTTGTGAAAAATACTGTAATCGGTATTACAGAATCAAGAAGTTGCCATTTAAAGTAAGTCTGTTTAATTTAGAGATGTATTTTTTAATTAATTTTCAAATAATTTATTTCCAATTTATATAATATAATATAATATAACATAATATAATATATAGGCTTTACATATGCTACCCTGCTCTCTAAGATATTGGCCATAAAAAAAAACAAAAAAACAATATCGGTCGACCACTAATCTGCTTACATATGCTATCACTTGTTTCTGCTTCTTCACATGTCTTTTGATCAGGAGATTCAGAACTTTTTCAGAAGATGCCTAATAGCTTCCCCTACAGTATAACAGTGAAAACAAGCGTATTCAAATGACAGAAATTTCCATCAATCAGGGGGAAAGAGTTGAAGAAGTTCATGTCTCCTACAAATCATGTTTATGCAATCAGTTGTATATAGGGGTGTAACGGTACATGTATTCGTATTGAACCGTTCCGGTTCGAGGCTTCCGGTTCGGTACGAATACAAACCGTACGATTCCTTGGACCATTTTTCCTACCGACAAAATTCGCGCTGGCGCGACCACCACAACGTTGCGCAACATCAAATGGCAAGCGTAAAGAAAGCGGAACGAAACTGCGCTACTCATGTGCTTCACGGATCGTTTATCAGTTCGGAGTTCGGACCAGCAACATCTGTGCAGCGCGAGCCGATCTCGATCAAGCGACATTGTCACTACACAGCGCTAAGATCAAGTGAAGAAAACATTTGAAGTCGCCACTGAAGTAATAACATCGCTGCGAGATCTAGTGAGAAGCATTCACATTTCTCCGTTATTAACCGTAGATTTCTATTAGATCAAACAGCGCTGACGTGGACACCAGGAGAAATATTGTGCCGTGAATGAACTAAGTTAGTAATACTTTACGTCCACAGACCAGCAACATTCACCATAACTGTAACCAGTTTGGCTGGAATAGTGAAATGCTTTCAAGTACTTCACACATCTTTTTCCAGCACTTCAAAACTCAAATATTATATAAATAAATATTTGAAGAGTTCAGATGCAAAAGCCTCTAAGTGCCATTTGAAATTTTCTTCTAGAATTATCATTTTTATGAAGCTTGTATATTTAAGTTCAGTAATTTCACTCAAATGACAATTAATAGGTAATCTTCATTGCCATTTAAGTGAAATTACTGAACTTAAATATACAAGCTTGATAAAAATAAAGAAAATTTCAAATGGCTTTTGCATCTGAACTCTTCATATATTTAGGCTAAATGTTATTTTTAATGTGATGACCAAAACATTATTTGTTCATCCTTCAAAGATGACACCCATTTATAAACCTGAAAGTTTCAAGATGTAGGAAAACTCACAATTATTTAAAAAAATATTTTTTCTTTTAACAAATAGGAAATTTCTCTGGCATTTCTTACATTTTGCTGTATCGAAAACGTACCGAACCGTGACTTTAAAACCGAGGTACGTACCGAACCGTGATTTTTGTGTACCGTTACACCCCTAGTTGTATACATTAAATCTTCAGTAACATGCAAAGAAATAGGCAACCAAAAGCTTATTAAAATAGCCTAGATGAGGAAAATTCAGAGTTGTCCCCTATTGGTTACAAAAATATCACTTCAAATCAAACCAAATCTATAACACTTCAAATCAAAAGTAGAAAGAGGTTTTCTTAGATCTTGCATAAAGAAAACAGGCTCTATGTTTTTCCAGTTGCTTTAAGAGCTGTGTTTATGGTTT